AAATATCAAATTTTTCTCTTAGTCTAGTTATATCCTTTAACAGAGGAATGTAAAAATAATAAAATTTAAATCTGGGAATCTCGGCCATATCTTTGATTTTTCTTTTTTAGAGCAAGGTATTAGAGAAAACTAGCTTGAGGTTTAGTCATCCGTCTACTTATTTAACAAATTATGCTATTCCATCTTTAATTGCTAATTATTGATATAATTGCTTGATATTCAGAATATTTTCTCCTATACACATATCTGCCATGTGTTTGTACATATTTGACATACAATTGTAATTCGCGCCATTATGAATATGTCACACTTACAAATTGATCCCGTCGTATCCAGCCCCGATGCCGACGTGATCCACTCCGGCTATCTTCCGCACGTGATTGATGTGCGCTGTAACATATCACGAAAATTGCATGTATTAGGTAATCGTAGTAATACCCGCTGCATGCCCTTAACATCACCGTGATACACGGACCGTGTAGCTCATTTATCGTGTAACAAGGAGAATTACATTTCCTTAACCGCGAATTGCCTGCGAACTTGGTGAGTACAGCGCGGACGATTTTTCTTTCTGCGACTGCGACTAATAACACCGCAAGTTATTACTCTCGAGCGCAGCAAAGAAAATTACCTACACTTACATTATGTATTTTTTTTATTTTCATTGTTATCCAGCAATGTATGTTTATTTTTTCTGCACATGTTTGATATATAATATCGTTGCATGTGTCCCGTTGCAGCTGCGTTTGCCATCCTGATTGCCTAGTTAGTCACAATTGCAAATCCAATGCTGTATAATGTGCATAATTAATTCTTCCTTTTAATTAGAAAGAAATATTACACTCATAAATTGAATAACTTATTAAAAGCAATCCGTCCATCGGGCGAATTTATCTTTATATTTAAAGTCGAAAGAGATTGTAAATCAATTTGCAATTAGCGCAGTCAAATCGCAAAAACTCAAAGAAAAATAATTCACAGAGGCGCGTTAATCTTCAGTGGAGATCGGAATGATCGAATGTAGACGAATTATAATTTTGCACTGAGAGAAAAGTATTTGATATTTGTAACTATAATTGAATAGTAAAATAATTATGGCTAAAAGTTCCATTTTTATAATTATTAATCCTATTACTGCTTTATTTTTATGAAGAAACGCTATTTATATAAAAAGAATGAGGAAATATAATTTTATATATCAAAAAGAATATACGGTATTCGAAAGGACTATAAATTAGTTTATAAGAAAAACAATTATACCTTTTTAGTATATATAATATTAAATATACAACTTAATTCTCGGTCCCTACATTTAATCACGCGACTACCTATTTAAATTAAAATTTTTTTTCACTGTATAGTCATTTTAAAGCGCCATCCTTTAGCTTTAAAACGATATATAATAAAGTTGATGCTGCTGATATACTTCTTTTCGTATTTTAATTAAAGAAAGCCAATGAGGCTAAGGAAATGATTTGCTCGACTTTAGGTGAAAATGCTATGTCTTATTGTACGTGTAAAAAGTTTCAAAAGTTTTGGGATAGCAATTTCAATCTCCAAGATGAAGAACGTCCTGAACAATAAAAAAACTTGAAGAAAAATTGGAAGCCTTCAGAAGAAAATCTTTGTTAGATTCAAGAAGATTAAAAAAATTGAAAGATTATTTTTATATAGATAAATAATATATATTTGTTAAAAAGGCCGATAATTACGTTGTACATTATTAGATTTATAGAACCATGAATATAATTATTATTGTTAACATTATAGTATTATAACTTTACAGCATTATATTTACTATAAAGATGGAGCGTTTAACTGTACTTATTTTATTATGCATTATAATCACAAATATATCAAACACTTTGCTCTCAGTGTGTTTATTGCTGACGATCGTATTTGTAAATGCAATTCTCTCGTAACTAGCAAATTTCAAAGTGTTTCCTCTCGCGCTAAAGATGGATAAAATCGAATAATAATTTGAACATGTACAATGAGATGATCATGAACGTACGCATAAACAATGAAAATTTGCATATCCGTCAGACGGATGTTATTGTTAACTCGGAAACGGTTGCGCTCGCGCGCGGATATAATTTACACCTCGGTAATGTAATATATCGTGGATATAATTTACACTCTACAGCGACGTATAAAATCCAAAAGACAATTTCATATACTCATCAGAATTATGAACGTGTTTCTCTTCTCAATAAATTGAATCGCTTATTGCGTCATGAGTTATCAAGAGAAGAGCAATATTTAATACATTTTAAATGATATTTTGAGCAAAGTAAGAGGATTATTTCATATTAAACGAATCGATTAAAAAATTATTTCCATATTTATCTTATATATTCTCAATTTAATTAAATAATCTGATATACCTTGATACCGATGCAATTAACTCTTTGAAGATCGAAGCTTTCTAATAAGATAACTTATGGAAATCCTTGCTTTCTAAAAGTTATCGGAGTAGCTGAATCCGAATACTGGTTTCAAAATATTAATATTTAAATTTTGAAAAATAATCTGAATTTATGTATGTGTGTGTGTGTGTGTGTGTGTGTGTGTGTATGTGTGTGTGTGTGTGTGTGTGTGTGTGTGTGTGTGTGTGTGAAAACTTGGTTTAAATTTTAAAAATATCTGAATTTATTATGAAAACTTAGTTTTAAGAGGTTTTTGATATCTTTGAGCTTAAATGTGGCTTGAAAATATCGAATTTCAAACGGACACTAACCTCTATGAAGGAGGATCTAGTGTCACAGGATTCATAATCAGAGTTTAAAAATCAGTTTGGAAATCATACTCAACTGTTTACGTACTGAGCTTCAAATAAAACGAAATTCGGAATTTAATGTACTAGCAATTAAAAATTTCCTAAAACTGAATTTTATGATAATCAAATTATTTTTAAAAAATTCTGGTCGAATAAAAATACATTGAATTCACTGTTTTGATTTTTTTTTTTATTTCCGATCAGAGTCTGGCTAGAGTCGAATAAAGAACATTTCCGAAAATTGCTCCGTTTCAAAAATAGACCGTTTCAAAAATTGAATGTGTTATTTATAATGTAAAAGAGATAACATAAAAAATGGGGTTGCGAATCCATAAAGGATTAATTTTATATTGTTTAGTATACTAACATCATTAATAATTTTTATGTAAAAACGTAATTTTTTTCTATGAATATTCTTTATAGAATATAATAATAGAATATAATAATAATTATTATTATATGTATTATATGTATTATATGTATTATATGTATATTATAATATTATTATATCTATATGGAGTGACCAAATAATTTGTGTACTAAAGTTTTGTGTATTTATTAAAATCATTATTTAAGTAGCAAACTAATGTTATTTATCATCATTTTGAGAGACGTCAAACTACTCGACAGACCGAAATTTTTGCCGAAACTGAATCGAAATTGAATCAAAACTGAATCAAAATTCTTTATATACATGTCAATTTCAATCGTAACCGAAATTAAAAAAAAATGAAGGTCATATGTATAGACATATCCCTATATTTTTTCTTCATAAATATCATAATTTATTAAAACAATAATTAAATTTCGACAAAATCGAAAATCGAAATTTCGATTGTTAATTTTGGCCAAAGAATATAATACTTCTTCTTCATACACATAATTTAATTATTAAAACAATAATTACAAATGTTAAAATTAATATTTATGAAGAAGAGCTATATATGGTTTCAGTCGAAATTGACACATAATATTTCAGCAGAAGTTTTAGTTGGACTCTATTACTCGAATACAAGTAACGTAACAATTTTAAAAAACAAAATCTGTGTTAGTTATATTAAATATCAAAAAGGTTCTGCACCAAAAAAAAATGTTCATCGTTTGATGAATCGAAGGTCGCTCTATTGATTGTTTGAAAAAATTTATTCATGAAAAGGTACATGGTCATCTTGATATATTTTTGAAGTGCCTTAAACCTGTATCAAAGCTAAAGGTAGTTATTTTGAAAATGTTAATTATTATTTTTAATATTTAATAACAAGATATTTGATATTTAACAACAGAGTTTGATTTTTTAAGATAAACATTATTAATTAATAATTTGTTATTAATTAATAAACACAAAAGTAGCCGAATCTTTATGTCACTGTGTACCATACTGTTATTATTATTATTATTATTATTATTATTATTATTATTATTATTACGATTATTATCTATTACCGAAACTATGCATTTCGCGAGTTATCTCCATTATTAGAATGCCAACGTTTCATGAGCAATGCAGTTCACTTCGTTAAAACGAGGAAGATATTGGCTACTACTATCAGGCTGCTCCTTGTCCTGATGAAGTGAACTACAATGTTTAGGAAACGTTGGCATCTAATAATTGATCTTGTATGATTGAGCTAATAATTGAACGTTGGTTTCTAATAATTGATCTAGGTATGGAGATAACCTGCAAAACGCATTTCGAATTTATATAGAAAGTATCTGTGAAATCTCAAAAGTAATATTATTACTATTGTTATTATTATATGCATCGGCAAATCATTAATTACTGATCATTGTTAGCTATTTCCTTCTACTAATAACAACATTGGCATTCAAAAATCGATAAAAAAGATATTGTAATATGTCTAATAACGTTAAACATGTTAATACATTTACAAAGCTTTGTATACGTAATGGATAACGGTATGTCAGTCACGCAGACACGACATGCATAATCGATCGGATAAATGACATAATTCATAGCCGATCAGACTGTAGAATAACGACGCGCCTCATTGCACCGCAATTTTGTTCGGGCACGAGTTGCCGCGTGAACGTATCAGAAACGTCACAAATTTCGATTTTCGCGTTTGCGCTGCGTTGCACCGGCGTTACATCTCCATTATATCGTAAATTATGTGTCGACCGGCTCAGTGCGGTCTTTCAGAATTGATCACGATTCAACGAGGCACCGCACGGTTACCAGCGTTACCAGCACGGTTAGAAAATCACAAATCAATACAATGAATAAGGAGATGAGCGGATAGCCTCGCTGAATGGAAATTCCAACTTTAACCAGATTTTTTATAATTTCTAGATTGCATAATTTCATAAAAATTCCTCCTGTATTTATTAAAATTGGAAAATTATCTGTATCACGATATTAATTACAATTCAATGGAATTCCTAAAAAGATGGAAGGTTTGTGCAGAGAGATCTTGCGAAGTGTTTCCGTTAAAGGACGCAAGTACTTTTGTCGCATGACTGCTGCATGTTACTATAAATGGAGGAAGTTGCATTTGCATTGCATCCCGTGCGTCGTGACGGTTGTACCATTAGCAGGCTGCTGTGAGATCTTTCGATTTGCATGTACGACGTAAACAGCGCGGTTGACGTTTGTTTGGGCAGAATAACGTGCGAATGTCTCTTGGGACGCAGTGCATTTTAATGCTTCGTGTGCGGAACACGTCGCAGAATATACAAAGTTCTACAAAGTGAGAATGAAGAAACGATATTGCATAAAACGGCGAGTATATTCCTAAAACGAGATGTATTTTAATGGAATGCATGACAAAACGCTGACGCGTATTTCAGCACGCGAGGAAAATCAATTCTATTGTAATTCAAATTTTATAATTGTTTTTTCCAATCGATTGGAAAAACGATTATGCTAAAAGATTCAAAATTTTGTTGGATATAAATTTGAAAATAATTTTGAAAACTGGTTGTTAGAATATCAATACTTTTTGCAATATTGCTCATCATTTTTGATACAGTTATTTTGATTATGATCTAACAAACTTATTTTTAGATCCGCATTCAAAAAAAATTTCAGAAATTTCAGAATAAAATCGTTTTTTTTTTCGTGTAAAAAAATGAGAATATGTAAAATCTATGAAGAATATATCAAATTTATGAAGCCTGTTGAACATAATTTAAAAATGTGATATAAACAAATTCAATACAAAAGATTTAAATAGCATATTGCTACGGGTCAAAAATAACTTCCGTAACATCTGTGACATACGTGTCCATCGTCGGAGATGGGTAGTGCTTTTCGGTCGCAGTTTCATCAGCAGTGAGCTCAAATCGAGAAAATTGCATTCAAACGGTAAACAAAGAAGGAATTATTCGACAAACATAATATGAGGAATTGCGAGCTACGATAACGCGACTCGCCAGCTATTATTATTAACGGAAGCGATTGTCGCGCCTATGATGCGGTCATCATGGGATCCAGCTAGAAAGGGCAACAAGATAGGATGAGGGAAAAGGGCGAGTGTGGTGAGAGCGCTCGAATCAATCATCAGTACAATATTGGTGTCAATGGCCACATGGGAGAGAGCAATGCATTACAATTCGCGAAATTATCATTGCGAGTCCGCTGTCTAACGCACTTCCCGTTCCGCACAAATAATTTTCTTCCCCGCTCTCTCCCTCGGCGGACATAATTTTCTCCGCGGCTCGGTGGCCATCGATGTAAAGCAATTAGAGATGCTGCTTGCGGAAGGAAGCAATTATTCAGGCACCCGGTTATGCCCGATTATGCTACGTCCGATGTGCGGCCGTCCGGATCAGCAATTTGCTCTTTCTTATTTTTGTTGCATGATATTCGAGATGCAAGTATATCACTGTATTTTGAATAACATTTTATTGTCGCGATCGCTGATGTAAGTGTATGTGGATTCCTGATTAGTATTACTAAAGTATTCCCATACTGATAGAAATGTTTAATATAAATAACTTTTATTTTGTTGAAATTACAGGAACTTTCTTTTTTTTTTTTAAATTGTGTTATTTTCCAATTAAAATTTTTTAATTTAATTCTAACATCGTTCTAACCAAAATTTAGTTACCATAACAATTTTTTAATTTAAAAATAAAAAAGTTTTCGTAATTCATATATCAACAAAATAATAGTTATTTATATCAAACATTTCTCTCAATTTCAATTCACATTGAAATATAATAATACTGGAATGCGTGTTGCTAAGAAGTGATCAGATAGAGTGCGTATGAAGTGATATCTTTATTTTTCGAATCAATATGATGTGGATTGTGAGAAGTATAAACTAAAAAGTGATATCACCTAAGATTTTCTTGGCACTTCTCCATATTACCCAAGTAGAACATAGTCATAAAGACATTATGATCTTAATTGTCACTTATAAGTTCATTTTTAAGTATCAAATGAACATATATTATGACTTAATTATGACTCTGTGTCTACTTAGATGTCAGCGTAGTATTATTAGATTTAGTGGATGTCATCAATTGAATATTTGCTATTTTACAACAAAAATTACTGTGAATGCGCATTAATAATATATATATTTTATGTAATTTGACATTATCTCCGTGTCTTGATATATTGTTAAATGTCCATGTTTTATGAAAAATGATGATACTGTATCAAATTGTTTCTTACTCTGAAATTAATGGAATTAACCCGTAGTTTCTTTAAAGCTTCTTTTCCATGAAGAAAATATCCGTGGAAGCATCAAAAGTATTATTAATAATTTGACATTAATATCATTACATTTAGTGTTTCTATGCTTTGTTACACACTTTAGAAAACTTTCCTTATAAAATAAACCGCGTAGTTGTATTTGAAGCATTTTTCCTTGAAAAAAACATCCATGGAAGCCTCAAAAGTATTATCAATAATTTGACATTAATAGCATTACATTTACTTTACTTTACTTTATTTTACTTAGTTTTTTTTTTATAAAAAATTTTTTATAAAAAGTGAGAAGTTTTCCTTATATTATAAGATAACGAACCTTCAATCGAGTATAGAATTTTTAGAGTGAGGACTAAAACATTCACAATCCCATGTAACACAAAGCTCTTATTCTGTAATTCTTAACGATAGCATCAATGTTGTTATACATATTATTAGTTTGCAGTTTTTTTATCATAAAATCTGCACAATGTAACGACATCGACATTTATTAAGAATAGGGATAACAATTCATGTAATATCAGTGATAGCATTCAATTCATATATACAATATCGCGAAATTTACAATCGTAATAATTCGAGATGTACCTATTATATATCACAGTGCAATATTACCTACTATATGCTACATCCGCTTATTTTTGTAAAGAATATATGTGAAAACACCGGGTAATGGGGACATGGAGATTATTACGATCCTAGGAAAATTACAAATTTTCTGGGATACTGAATCGAGACCAATTTTACATGAGAGATTTCAGAGATTAGCGAATAAAAAGTGGGCGAAATTAAAGAACTTATTATCTCATGTTTATTATCTACATGGGGATTATGAATTACGAATAATTATTATGCGAATAATTCTTCTACTGCGAAATTCCACGAAGAAGAAAGTAAGAATGATTCGCCCTTTTTAGATCAGAATTCACGTCTACAAAAAACTGTCGCCGCTTGGCAATACCACAAACGGAATTGGCTGCCACGACACGGACGTTTCGCTTTTTTGTCATGTTTGCCTGCAGAAACACTCGATTTTCACAGAATGCACTCTGAACCGCGGTTTGGCCGTGGAAAGTGTGAACTTTAGATTACGGGTTTCACGGGTTTCACCTCACACACGATGGCTTTGGTTTCACGATCGATCTCGCTCGTTATAAAAGATATACGGTTAACTTTATAAAATGTAATATACTACATTATATTAAATGCTATGGAAAATATCATCCTGTGTAAAATTTTATTTTTATTTTAATGTATTTATATTTAATAATTCTCTCTCTCAAATTAGTTTAGCATTATAAATAAGAAATGTTATAAAAGAATGCAACTTAATTAGCAAAGAAATGTTACATATTTCAAGTTTTAATTTAATTCCACATAAAGTTTCTCGGAACTACGAGTACTAGACTAATTAATCCCATTCCCATGATTCGTACATATCTAATTGTATAACGCACACACATAACCATTTATATTACCGGCACGGTATGAAATGTTAATATCTTCGGAACTTTGAGCCGTCCTGTAATAATGCAAATATGATAACGACCCGCGAGAATTGGCACCTAACGCGAAAACTCATTTACACGCTTCAGCAGAGAAACGCTTCGGATGTTCCCTTTACAATAGCGACGTTGAAAGTGGCTTTATAGTCACAACAAACATTTTAGTGACAAACAGAACGAGCTAACTGAACGATTTTTATTTCTCTCTTAATTAGTTATCTTATGTTAGAAGTGTGTGGAGAAGATTAGAGATTCTCTAATTATATCTTTCCATTTCTATCAATGTAGATTAACTTTAATCTCAATTTAATTTACTTTTTATCTTTTTCTCATTCTTAGAACTGAAGAAAGATAAAAAGTAAGTAATCCAAGATTAAAGTTAATCTACATTGGTAAAAATGAACAGAAGAGATGAAATAACGTCAAGATTAAGTCGGTAATGTTATTTTTCAGCAAAAATATACGACTGTGGTAATACATTTATTAGTCGTATTACATCTTTAATTTGCTATAAAATAGTTCCATCAATCAAAATTGGGGACGTATTTCGTGATTTTATAATAATTAAATGATCTAATTAAAACAATCATCATGATTAAAGCCACAAAAAGTAAAAGCACACGGAGAGAATGTTTTTGCTGAAGTATCTAAAAATTTGGCTAGACAAAAAATTATATAATTTTATGGTTTGTTAAAATAATTATGCAGGACGCTCAAACCGATTGTTAGAATATTAAAATTGTTTACAGCATAACGAAGCTTGAGTTTCTTACACTGAGAAAAAAATACTGTTGATTCAATTCAAGTTTATATTACTGACTAACATCATTTAATTAATAATCATTTATGTGACAACCCATAATATAGACTTTAATTGAATCAATAGCATTTTTTTTTCAATGTATGTAATTATTTTGACAGTCCAACAAAATTATTTTCAAATCTATATCTATATGTATCTATATATAAACCTAACTTTTTATAGATTTTTAAATAAAAATCATTCCTTCTATGCATGCTGAATTGTTATATCGGTGAAAAAGTTATTTTAATCATTGCCATATTTATTTTTTATTCCGGAAAGAACACAGTAAAATATAAATACAGAAAATAAATACAGAAAATAGTTGAATTTATCAGATATTGAATTGCATTACATTGTGTTGTTTAAAAAATTCGAGATAACGACGCACTTCGATAAACAAATATTGAGCTTTAAGTCCATGTAAGTACGTATAATGTCCGTCTGAGTGAATTTCATGGAATTTTATTTAATACATTACAAGTAGCAAACAAGTGAATGCGAATGTATAATAATATAATATCCCTTTTTACGAATATAATATTTCGTAATCGCTGTTAATGATCGAAACGAAACAATACTAATCGCAGTAAATGCTTACCTGCTACATCCTCAAGCGTCGATTTTTCGCCACAGCTGATAAAATGGGGATAGAAGGATACCATAACTATACCACCAGTCTGCGCCTGTAAATAAAGTATTTGTATTTCTCTTAAAGTAATCGTTGAATTAAGTAAAATATAAAAACGTTATTTATTTATTTAAACAGAGAATAAGCGTTCATAATATACTTAATATAAAATCATAATTATATATCTCTTATATTAATATAAGTTATAAGATTTAGAGTTTATATAATCATAAGGCGATTATAATTTCTATAGAAAGAATAATTTTCCTGAAATATTAAAAAATTTAGCTAGGTTTAGATTTGAAAATAATTTTTGTTGAATCAAGATATGTATGTAGAAAGCTCGATGAGCAATGCTGTAAAAAAATTTTGAGCATCCTATGTAATTATTGTAATAGTTTAGCAAAATTATTTTCAGATTTATATTTACCTAAATTTTTAGACCTAAACCTTCCTTATAGATACTTACTTATAGAAATAATCTAATGCAATTTAACACTTTATATTCGAATGGTAACTTTCAATTGATTTGATGTAATTCCAGTGGTGAGTGAGAGGTGACAATGACTGTTTATGTTTAATTTGGGCGAAACATAAAAATATAATAATTTTATAATATTAATTTATGTATATTTCATTTTATGTCACAGCTATAAGAAATTCCTCAAATTCTATCAAAACAGCCTCAAGTTACTAGTTCCTTCTAGTGAAAAATGCGAGTGCAAAGAGTTAATACTAATCAATTTATTACTGAAAGACATTAATTATTTATTTAGGATGATAAAAGCATTAAATAACATTGTTTTTAAGCTACTAATAACAACTGTTGTTTTAGCACTAATAACATTGTTTATTGTAGTTATAATAAATAATTAATTACTGTTTTTTGATTGGCCAGTTAAATTGATCATTATTAAATTTTTGTAAAATTTTAGTAAAAATCGTTCTTTCTGTGCTGTCATCACATTATATAAGATGGCTTTGAATGAATATATTATAGCGTTTGTTACTTTCTGTTTCGTTGCCGAGCTTACCAAAAGTCGCAGCGCGTGGTCAGGCACATTTCGCGAGGAGTTGCAAAGAGCGTGAGCGCTGCTGTGACTGAAAATCACTGGCGCCCTCGACGTCGTCATAGCTGCCAGCATCGTGGGCACCGAGACATGAGAGAGGTCCACCATCATCCCAAGTCGATTCATCTCCAGCACGACACTCTGAAAGTTTTACAGATGCGACGTTAAATAGTTTCGATACTCGTGAACACGCCCGCTCTCACGATAATGGCATCGAGACACCGCTTAAAGTATTATGAAAGATCTCTTGGATTTCGTGTTAACGTTGAAAGGCATGTTTCCTGGTACATCTTTTGAATATTCTTGCGATGAACTAAATGCTAATCCGGATTACATAGACTCACAGAGATTCACGGGATCCGCTCGAGGGTGATTTAATGTACATATTATCACACAGTTCTCCTTATAAATTTTCTCCTTATAAAATTTTCTTTTCGCAAATTTATGATTATGGCTGTGATAAATTTTTCGGACGAATCATTGGAAGAAAGAGTATCTCTTGTTCATTGTTATTGCTTTCTTAAAATTAAAGTAGGACGAAAGTTTGTTACAGTATCTGTCGGGTTGCTTTTCGAATTAAATTTGGCGTTAGTAGTGGAAGGACTAGTTTTATAGTGCGCGCACGTTAGGTCAGTGACACTTATTGCACGGATTGAGTTTCAGAACGAATACTTTCGAAGCTGCTCTCTTTTCGAGAAGAATGCCAATGCGAGAGGCAGTGGCCCATAGAATAAATCGAAAAGTCGGATTTCCTAGCGCTGCAGTCGCCAATCAATATGTTTAAAAGACAGCAATTGTATCTGAGATTTATATAGCGATATCTCGCAAGTCGTATTACTCGCGGAACATGACGCAATATTTTAAAGCTAATAAAACATTTTCAAAACAACCAACAAAATGGATAAAATAAAATTTGTATTAAGTCTTTATATTGGAAAAATTAATCCTTTAATGCCATATACTATATACCATTTTGTCATGTGGACAATACATTGGCACACTCAACTTTTGATTGCTTATAACTTTTAAATAAAAGAATTTTATTACAGTTTATATTGCAAAAAAGGACTTGATTTACAATTTTTTAAACAATATACATTTATTTATATCTTCTAATTAATAGCTAACTAAAATACAATGGCTATAATAGTCAAAAATTTTAGGACATTTTAATGATAATTTTTGTCAATCTGTTTTTCAATTATATTATAAGTTAATAATATAAAATTCTTGCTATAAGTTAATAATATATTGTAAGTTAATAAAATTCTTATTTACTTAAAAATTATGATATTTTTAAATATTATTAAATATATTATATACTATATTAAATTTTTATATGTCAAAATTTTTTATCTGAATAATATATTAAAATTATTCATTGGTCGGAAACTTTTGGCAGCCACCGCAAATGTTACTCTATTAATTAAACCTAAACCTACACTCACATCTACATTTATTTTTTATTTTTTATATTCTAAATATAACAGCTTTTTTTATCCTAATTTACGTTTTATATTACGTTTACTCAATTATTACACAGTTTTCCCTTAAAATCTTAGATTTTTCTTTATTCTCAATAATATCATGGAAATCATCTTTATTAGTGAACAAAATTATAAGTAATAAAATAAACAGAAGTTTCGAAAAAAAATCATTTTTCGAAAAGAAGCTAAATATTGTATATCCGAGATTAAAGTTAAGAGCTTATATCTCTATGTGTGATGATTGATGATTATATTAAAATCAGATTATGCGCATAATTATAATTAAATCATTAAATAAATCATTATTAAATCATTAAATATTAACAATAGATATTAACAAAAAAGATAAAAACATAATCTTTTTAAATGCATATGCGTTCTACAACTATAAAAACAATACGTATATAATAACCTCATAAAACTAAAAATAGAAAAACGTTAAAAATTGAAATTCGCTAGATTCTTTGGCACGGAAGAGTCATCCTTGTTAGGAGACAAGTTGTCGCACGAATTCCGATTTCTTTCCTGCGCGGTGAACGTTATCTCCGTTAAACGAGAATGCTTTGTTAAACTGGCAACGTGATAAACTGAACGTCTTAGGATTCTTTCTCGACTTTCTTATTCTCCAGGTTTTGCCATAGTTGTGCCTCTGCTTTTTTTCTCTCGCAAGTCGTGACGGATTCTTAGCGTGACTTCCGTCTCGTTTTCATTGTGGATGCTTCAGGCACGAAGCTGCACAAGAGAGATTCTCGAGGTGCTGACGGATAAATAGAGAAAACTTTTTTACATGTGTGTGTAAATCTTGTTACAGATTGAGTGACGTGTTAAATTGAGGATTAGTTGTAGGAAACACATAAAACATTACTAATCAAATTCTTGCATGTAACACTTTTGTTCTTTTTTTAAAACAAAGGTAATATTTCTTTTTTATTTATTTCAAATAAGTAAAAAAAGGATTAAATACGGTCGAGATTAGGTCTTATATAATGTCTAATAAATTTAATTTATATATAAATTTTAAATATTGGAAATACAATATTTAAATATTGTGTGTGGAAGTACAAAATTTACATATAAATATTAGGCACCAAGATCTCGATCATATTTGATTTTTCTCTATTTATTTACTTATATATACATAAATTCTAAATCTTTCATTTATATAAACTACCTTACTGTTGGATTTAAAACGCAATCATAAACCAAAACTGAAATATCATAAATTAAATTGATCGTCAATTTAATTTATGATGATGCTAATAAACATCTTAAAGTTTCTGCAAAGAACTTATTGTGAATAAATATTACCACAGAGTAGTATTTATTACAAGTTAATTTTTTTAGGAAATTAGAATGTGTCTATGTCTTCAACAAGATTAAAATAAACTTTAAGTTGGAGGAAACTCAAAAAAAATTTTATTGCATAAAGTTGCGAAAAAAAGAGAGAGCGCAAGTGAGATTAGCTATGTGCGAGTGATGACACGCGATAGAATAGTTCTGTTGGTCTCATTCGTTAAAAGTCTTGATGAAAAGGGGAAAAAGGGATCAGAAAAATGCATAAGCCCGGCTCAAGCGATTCTTTTCCATTATTCAAGCAATTTATTTTCTGAAGAGGCATTTTGCGATCTATTCCGACTTTTCGTTTACCTTTGCTTGAAAATGGTAAATTTTAATAAAAATCACGAATTAATGAGACGAGAAACAATTGCGATTGATTATTTGCGATTCTGTTTCTATTTGTACTTTATGCCAAATAGATGCATGTTTTATTATTTCGTTTCTACAGTGAAATATCTTTTTATTCTAATTAATGATAATGATGATATTCGTGCTCGTTTTTGCTAAGCAATAAAAAAAAAAACAAATGAAAACCAAACAAATGAGTGTATAAAGATGACATATATAGATAATTTATTCTTAAAATCAATAACAAAATACATTTTTCTTGGTTATCTTTCTTGGTTATCAGCCGTGAATATTTATATGTGTATATTATATTATTATAATTAACAAGTAGAAAATAATAATAAAATCAAATATAAAACATAATTCATATAAGTGTAATATAACAGGTGTAATATTACAGTTATATTGTTGAGTGGGAAATTATAATTAACAAGTACATTGCACAATATTTATGTTTTGCTGAGAATATTAGAGAGACTTAATAATTTGTTAGTAATAATAAAATCTTTTTATTTTCGAAAATATATTTACAAATCATTTATTACGCATCACTAATCGTATATTATAGGCAAATTATATTTGCAAAAATATTTGATTGATGAAGATTAACAGGCGTGTTTGATACGTGGATATATTTTTGTCCTAATTTACTGCTCCAAGCATATGCATAATAAATTTGTTTCTTTCAAAGGACAATATATATTTTTTTTCTGGTTATTGAAAGAATTCACCCTCGAGGATCTCCAGGATGTGTTAGGTGGCGCAATGGTGATGGTTGGTACGATCTATCGGCAGACAGGATGACGAATAAGCTTTATTCTCCCATGAGTCCTTTTGAAAGGTATCCACTCGTATCGTAGATACGTTCTTCTATTCATTGCTCCCTCAGGTATTTTTCGGAGCGAAAACTGAGGAAGGAATCGAGACATTTATTCATTTTCTTTTAACCCATAGATCTAATTTTTCTTCAACTTTTGACTCCCAGACGAAACTTATTCTCCGATCTTACAATTTTGTCATTCGCCATTCAAGGCATATTAAAATCAATCTCTCTTCTCAAGTTATAATGTTATTTAACAGAAAAGAAAGAAATATTATTTGTATGGAATATCAGTGACTACCATTTTAATTTTATGGAATTTTGTTTTATGAATCTGTAAACGTTACGCGTATAATAATAGAGATATTTTTCGATCTTTCAATAATCCTATAGAGACAAAAAGAGATATTTTCCGATTAAAATATTTTCCGATTAAATATTTTTTCACAAAGAGAATTTTTTTATATGCAAATAATGTACATTTCTGAAATTAAAGAAAATAAAATAAAATACATTTTTTAATCTTCTTTAACGGAATAATTTTAAAATTTTTTATTGCGCTTAATAAAGTTTTTATAAAATTTTCATTTTTTTTAAATTAATATTTCATCAATGCTTTTTACTAATGCGTATTAAAATTGATTAATAACATAACATTTTATTTAATTTTTTTAATAAAATATAAGATTTGAATACAAAAAATTTGAAATAAATCTTTTTTTGAGATAAAAGTTTCAATTAAACTTTAAACAGAAACTATACAGAAAAAATATATTTCGTACCTATACTTTTACCTATAAATCTTTCACGAATAGTAACGGATTTTTACATATATTAAATACTTTAGATATAAAATTTCAAATAAAAAATTCAAATAATAAAAATAACATTTATTTAACAGCTGTTATTTGATTTGTATTATTTATTAATACACACAATAAATTCTATAAAAATTCTGTAAAATAATATTAATTTATTTATCAAATATAGTAAGAATTTCGTTTAGGATAATAAGAGTTCCGATTTTATTGAGGAAATTTAGAATCATATCGAATTAGGATCATATCGAAAAACAAGGAATCATTATTTTTGCCAGATTTAATCTTATACATTCTCCGCGAATATGCGGTATTCAAAATTGAATTGCA